TTTGTATGGGAAAATACATGGCAAACGGAACAAAAATATTCGTTTTCATGTCACTACATGTAAAACTTAACAGAACAACTTTATCCAAGATTGCAAATTGATCTAACTTCTGTGAACTTATGTTTAAGTACTCTGAAAATGAAAGTATTATTCTGGAAAAGATTGACTATTCCAAAAACGATAAATACGTCGATCGTTTAAATCGAATTTAAAAAAAAATGAGTTTCAGACAAATTTAACAAAATATCGTATATCTGTGTGTGTTGTGTGTGTGTTTTTTTTTTTTTTTTTTTCATTAATTGTAGTAAGGTTTAGGAAAGCTTCAAGAAGCCTGGCCTGGTTGTCTAGTACAGCTCCACTAAAACCCTTTCCTTACTCTCTCCTCTGCCTGGATCCCCCCGGGACCACTGTGAAGCGACTACTTCGGGGGGTGGCTGTGCTCATGCACTTGTCGTACTCTCAGCGCTAGCTGGCGTTGCTAGATCGCTGCTCTTCTCTCCATTTTCGCTGCAGCTCCGACATAATCTGCGTGACTGCCCTGCTGACGGCATTCCAAGAGTCCTCCTCTCGACACATTTCAACGACGACATTCTCCACGTTAAGGACGGGCATCTCCGTTCGCACTGCCTCGAACCTTGGACAGTCGAAGACCACATGCTGCTACGTTTCATCGACGTTGCCACACTCCGGACAGAGGGGTGACGCTGAGTGTCCGAACCGATGCAGGTATTTCCTGAAGCAGCCGTGGCAAGACAGGAACTGCGTTAGGTGGACATAGACTTCTCCGTGTTTTCTGTTCACCCAGGTCGAAAGAATCGGTATTAGTCTATGTGTACATCTGATCTACCGTTCTTCGTCGTGTTCCACTCCTGTTGCCACTTGGCCAATGACTCCACTCTCACAACTTTCCGTACTCTTCCGGCTTCTCTCTGCCTGTAGCACTCGCTGTCCTCCGCCAGGGTGATGCCGATAGGGATCATACCGGCGATAACGCATACTGCTTGCGACGAGATGGTTCTGTACGCACTCACAACTCGCATGGCCATAAGACGGAACGTACTGCTCAGTTTCCTTTGGTTCTGCTTCGTTTCCAGCGTTGGAACCCAGGCTGGACCTCCATATCTCAGTATCGATGATGACACGCTGGCCAGAAGACGCCTCTTGCTACTGCTGGGACCAGCGTTGTTCGGCATGATTTTAGCTATCGCGTTGATGGCCTTCGAAGCCTTCTCACAGGCATATTCGACGTGGCTGTTGAAGTATAGCCGGTCATCGATCGTCACTCCCAGGTATATTTTAACACACGCTTCGAGGCTATGGTGTGCTCCCCGACGGTGATTTCTGCCCGCTGTACCGCTTTACAGTTACTGACCAATAACACTTCCGTTTTGTGGTGGGCTATTTGCAGCTTCGCTCCTTTCATCCAGTTACCAATCATGTCGATTGCCTCGGTTGACAACACTTCCACCTCTTCCAGCGTCTCGCCTGTTACCGTCAAGACCAGGCATACCAAAAGTACCGCCTAATGACAGTATTCCAACGGCTGTCGCCTTCTTTTTCCTACGTTGCCGTCTTTTGCAGTACACGACAGCTCGTTCTTAGTCATGTATTTTGTTCGTTCGGCTATGACAACCTCGGATGGTCATTCGTAACTTTCCTCGTACATACAACAAGCAGTCCGTCAAACTGCCGATTCGTTGCTGCTAGCTTTGAAATTTTGTTTGCATGTCGTAAAGCAAACCCCATACGCATCAAAATATTGACGCGAGAGGGAATTATTGACAATAATATTGATGATGTGAATTCAGAAATATTGTCAATCTTGATGTATTGACGTCAATATATAATGTATTGACAATACGATTATTGTCAATAAAAGCAATCGTGTACGGTCCACTTAAGACTGCTACTACACTACCAGTGTGGCGCCGGAGCTCGTTCTGTTGTTATCACGTTCCTGCTGCCCATTGCAAAATTTTCATCCGATATTTTTTTTTAAACGCACGGTCTCCGGCGAAAAATATAAGCCTACCCGACACCAACCTGACTTCTACCAAACCCCAATCCGATGTTGGCCCGACATTGACTCGACATAAACACAGAATTGACCCGACATCGACCCGACATTTGGCCGACGTCGATCATAAATTGACCTTACATTGATCCGACATCGGGCCGACATATCTGTTCGGGATCATTCTTCTGGGTTTCTTCCATACTCCACTGCCGTATATCAATTGTATATAATGTCTCGTGACAGCCTTTTCGTGACAGCCACTTGGGTAAGCTGAGGGATGTCGTCGGTTTGTGAAGGCTGTTATGACGACAGAAACATTGAGAACCTGGTCATAAAGAAATGCATAAATACAGCCCATCCGGTTCACTACGTTTCAAGCACGATGATTTTAGCAAAGCGGGTATAGATGCGACTTTTCTAATACAGCTTTCAGGTGTATTCATATCTGAGCGATATTTCACGCGCGGAGAGAGATTTTGCGAAGGTACGAGAGGGAGAAAAGTACTAGTTGTCTCTCTCATTCCAACGCAAATTTTGCTTCGCTCCGCTAATGTACGCTTAGATCTGAATACACCTTTCATTCGTTCGTGCATGCGCTGTTACCAATACACTTCGAATTCAGATCTGAACGTACGGTAGCAAGCGGTAGTAAAGCACACAAAGCAACAGTCAATTCAAGTATAAACCAACTGTCGCGAGGAGACTGTACTATTTGGAAGCCTGGTCAAGACGACGTCGTCCGCAAAGCCAACGATCTCAACTCCTTTGTGCAGTTTCAGCGTTAGCACGCCGTTGTACATCCCGTTCCAGAGCGTTGGAGCAAGGATGGAGCCTTGTGGAACTTCCGCTGTAATCCTAATCGATCTCTGTCCCATGTCTGTCTCGTAGACCAGAACCCGGTAGTCAGGGACCCTCATTCTATGGAGTGCTTCGGCGATGGCCTCCCAGCTGGCGCTGTTGAACGCATTCTTGACGTCGATCACAGAACAGAAGGGGAAGTGCAAACAAATCGGTGAATCAAAAATGGTTCGTTTTTCTGCTCAACAAGCTATGTGTTGTGGTAGCGTTCCACACGGGCTTTCTATGTGCACTCACACTATCATGGCATGCTGCCTATCTTAACTGCAGGCAGAAGATGCCTTCTACCGCTAGGTTCGCTAGTGTTCGCAAATGAAAAGTGGAGCCACTTTCTGATCCGAAGTTCCACTCCTGTGCGTCGATCGTGGTTGGAAATTGCTCTGCTTTATCACTCGGTTAAAAGCGGCCCTGGCCGCTCGAAACACTTCTCTTCGTTCCTCTCTGTCTGCTTCCGTTTTTGCTCTCTGAACACGTCTTCTGGCTCTGAGACAACTAGCGCGGAGAGTACTAAGTGCCTCGTTCCACCAGTAGACCACCGTCTATTATTTGGCTCCAGTTTCCTCGGCATGCTCGTGTCACATGCTCTCACTAACGTTTCTGTCAGCTCGCCCGCATTTAGATCTACGGGACTTCCGTGCACACGAAGTGCCTCAACGAACAAATCATTGTCGAAAGCTTTCGTCTTCCACTTTCGGTCACAAGTTTCCGTCCTCCGTACTGCCACAGTATACCGTTGGCCGATGCCATATCGTATCGCCTGATGGTCGCTATGGGTATATCCTTCGCACAAAATCCAAAATGGCCGATTCAAAAAAATTAACGATTGCCCATAACACACAATTATACAAAGTTTTATGCACATTGGAGAAGGTAGAGTCAACATTTTTATACTGGTCTCCAGATTCTGGAAGTATTATAAGTTTTATGTCCAGAATTTCAAAAATTAGTTCAATTTTAATTTTTTTGGAAAATTTGAATATTTCAGAATAAAAAAAAAACACATTTTACTGATGCATGATAGCATGATAGTGGTTTACCGTCCATTGTAGCACGGAAACTAAGTCCGATAGCAGTGGGCTCTCTTATCTGTTTGTGTTGATCAAGCTTAGTAACCTTTTATTGTCCTCAACATGTCGCTGTATGAAGGACCAAAAACGGATTGGGTGGATCGATAGGCAAAGTCGCCTATACGCATCTACGGGACAGTAAAGAATCTCCTTCCAGCAACATGATCGCACAATTGGTCAAAAAGACGAGCCCCCAAACAGGAAGATGCCCCAATTAGTGGGGAGAAGGGCCCACCCTTTATTGTGTTACTGATGTGATGTGATGTGAATGGAACCCACCATCAGTGCAAGGATTACCAATGTCTGCAGATACTTTACCGGTTGTAAAGTTCTGCCTGATGGTTTGTTGCAGCAGGGTTAGTCAGCTTCATTGAAGACCTTTGAAAGACAAAACGACCAGACGACCATCTGTAATCTCATAACAAGGGACTGGAACATCCACGAATCCTCGTCCAGTCAACAAATCTTTATGCTTCAGCAAAGAATATTGAAAATTGCTTTATCATTTTTCAAATGACCGACATTTTCTCAAACCAGTACCGGTATTTCGATACCAGAAAATCACCCGGTACTACCGGTTCCACAACCCTAGGCCAAAAACAAAAAAAAAATTAACTCCATTCGGTCGATTTTTGGCAAAATAAATATTTCGAGTTTACACTGGATTCTCAACGTTTCATGCTATTTTAAGTGTTTTTTTTTTCAATTTAAGATTGCCTTGGAAGATTTTTCAATTTTTTAGATGAAAAAAAAAAATATGTTCTACAACTCGAGCTTTGACAATTTTGCACCACCCTATGTCCGAATGAGCTAAAATTATGCATAGGGTATTATATGGGTAATACAAATGGAACGAAATTAGGAACATTAACCCTTTATATCATATGTTGATCATATTGCCAACATCCATGTATTGGACACATACATACGATATGAAGATTTTGTCAAGTGTCCCTTTACACCATCTAACATCGTTGAATTGACGTTTCGATGCGTTGTTAAAGTCTTTACATTTTAAGGGGTGACAAAACTTTTAACATTAACAGCACCAAGCTTACCAAAATATTTGTCGTCTGCATCACCATAACTGAAATAAAAGGGAAAAAAGAATTGAGTATAATTATCGAATTTGAAGAAATATATTAAAGAAGTTGACTTAATAACTAAAACAAGGATCAAACCGTGGCAATTAATACAAAATTATAAATGTATAGGGTGCGTCACCAGTTCGACATGCTTCACTCTACATCTTCTGTCAGCAATGCAGAATTTGTTTTGCAGCAGTCGCATTAGCTTAAAACAAATTCTGGTAGCTAATTATGTAACATTAGTTTCACAGCCAAATTCTAAATCTCCTAACTAAATCCTCTGCACATCCACGAGAAATCACTGGAATATTGGATAATTGGCAAACGGTACGTTGAATTAAAATGTGTTAGTGGTAAGAAAGAAAGCCACTAACGAATTTTGAACGTGGAGGAGACAGAGATTAAACACATGATGTTCTGCTCAGAAAGCAAAAACGTTCGCTATAAGGCCACCGAGCCCATCACACCACATGAACGTGACTTAAGAATAATTCCAAGGGAGTTGTGGGAAGACTTTATAGGTGGATCTGTGGAGAATAGGCATGGAAAATCATTTGCATTCATTTTGTGCATTCATTTACATTCATTTGCCTCTAACTTTTTTCATCAACAGCATTCCGCAAAATGATGTTTAGAGCTTTTGTAGGTTTTGTTATCAGCTACTTTTGCTCATAACTCAAATCTGTATCTCTTATGCAGCACGAACTAGAGCGGGCAGAACTTGTTACTGTTTTTCAGTGAATGTAAAATACATTCACTGAAAAACAGTAGTGGCTGCTGTTCGCTCTGGTTCGTCATGCACAGGGATGGAAAATCATTTACATTCATTTCGTGCATTCATTTACATTCATTTGCCTCTAACTTTTTTCATCAACAGAATACCGTTAAATGATGTATAAAGCTTTTGTAGCTTTTGATATTAACTTGAACATTTGTTAACAACTAAAATCTGAATCTCATATGCATGATGAAATAGAGCTGACAGAACATGTTATTGTTTTTCAGTGAATGCAATTTACATTCACTGAAAAAACAATGGTGGGTTCTTATCGCTCTGATTCATCATGCATAAGAGATACAGATTTGAGTTGTTTACAAAAGATGTAGCTAATATAAAAGCCTACAAAAGCTTCAAACACTATGTTACGGAATTCTGTTGATGAAAAAAGTTAGAGGCAAATGAATGTAAATGAATGCACGAAATGAATGCAAATGATTTTCAATGCCTGGTGGAGAGTTTAAAGGAAATTGTGAGGGAAATCGGATATGAATTTTGAGTAGAATTCCAACATAGATTCTGTTGTTGTAACCATTCAAACCCGGCACCAACGACGACCAGTTTTTTTAAAACTGTTTAATATGAAGGAGACTGAGCTAGATCCCACAATTTTCTGCTCAGTAAGCAAAAATGCAGCTGAGTCCCTCATATCACAACACACCACTTATGATTGAGAGGATGCTCAAAACATTTAAATCCGACGACTGGCTGGTAGTGATCAATACTGTCAAACATAGTGATTTTAGTTACCAGGTTGAAGAAATAGGTGACCAAATAGTGACTTATAAAAGTGACTAAAACGTGAGCTAAGCGATGAAAAATAGTCGTTCTAATGCCACACCAAATAAATGCTTGATGATTTAGACTTATTCAATTAGTATCTCACAAACACTTATGTACGATATGAACCTTTGAAGCGAAAGATTCAATATAAATTGTATGACCAAACCCACGGTATTAGCCAGGAAGTCTTCTACCTGAAAACCCGGGAATCCACAGGGTTTTTTTCCTAAAAATACCTGGAAGTCTCATGGAATATAATAATTGCCTTACTAAGTAACAAATAATTTTTTTCATACATAAGTGCCAACCATCATGCCAAGGTCTGAGTTCATTCGGATGACTCATAATCGGTTGCAAGACTCGTAGACCAAACCTAATTAAAAACCAAACCAAACCAAACCTAATTAATTTATATCTTCATAAAAGGAAAGTTTTCCATTCTAAATCCTTATACACTAGTATAAATCATTAAATTTCCCCCAAGCTGCCCGATATATCCTTCACGGTGAATTATATCTCCACTGAAAGTAGTCCGACAGTTAGTTGCGAAGATGCCGAGAAAGCACGAAACGACACACTAGGGAATACTGCGGCAATAAACCCGGACTGCCAGGCATGTGGGCAATGCGACAACCTGAGCCTGAATTGCGTCCCTAATCGGCCAACACCAACCACTGCAAGCCGACAGGATCTGAAGGGGGAAACTTTTCGCCGAGAGCTTTAAACATTAGCCACCTACTGAGAAGCCGCTCGCCGCTAAGCCTGGAATCGGATGCGACTGAAATAGACGAAAGAAGGCATGCTTCAGCTGATTTGGAGAATCGGAGTTTTTTTTTTCATTCGCGAAATTCCATTCCATGAAAAGGATTTCCACAGCAAAGGACGGGGCTTTTGTGAATGTGTGTACTTTGCCTTCGAGGATGTCGACGACGTGGGGATCCAACTCGGACTGCCGGTGAGCGATGGACATCCAAAACGTGGGATCACAGACTGAATTTCGTTACTGGAGACCCACTTGAAGAAAAATTCCGAAACGTGGATGATGGATTTCCTTTCATGCTGGGACTCGACAAAGAAGGAAGAGACGTGGAATTCGACAGTCTTTTGAAGCAGTTTTCGTTTTCTTTATACGGGAAAAAAAAGCTACCGGTTGATGATCTCTCTGGAGTACGGTCTCATCTTTGAATGTCTGAAAAAGAAAACAGAAACAACGAAGTAGCATTTCCTTTGGAAACGGGGGCCTCATTGTGGATGTTAAAACGACAGACTTTTCCATACATGCGTTCTTTCAAAAAATACTTCGTTTCGACTTCCGGAATGAGGCCACATGGTTGTGTAAATAGAAAGAAAAAAAAAAGCATCGTTCACCCTATTGGCAGGTTGCAAAAAATAACGAACAAGCGCTAATTATTCGATTTCGTAGAATGGGTGAAGCTCTTTTTGTCGATTTTGGCTTCGAGGTTGTTTTTGTGTCGGATTGTTTATTTTAGCTACTCTGCCACCGCCCGACTCGATGTATGGATTTTTCTTTTCGGTAAAATGGCCTACTGTTCGATAATGTTGCCCTTTTATTGATAAATAGTCGTGAACCGTGTTGAGAAGATTTTTTGAGGAAGTGGCCATTTGACGTAATTTTATTAATTGAATCCATACTTTGTTTGAATTCACATCGAAAAAAATAGATGTGAAGAAAATCATGTAATAAACTGATTATCGATTAAATGAAGCTTTTCGGTGAAACGGCTTATTTTATAATTTTTTCCTTATTTCTTCAACGAAAGCCTTTATGACATTTTCTTTTCATCGTCCAACCACTTGAGATCTACATTACATTAACGAGCCACATAAATTTTACGGTAATTAACTTTTTCAGCAATTTTCCGACACTTGGCTGGGTTCGACTGCTGTAGAGCTGGGTTCGCCACTCATGTTCCATGTTATATGTGTAGGTGTGGGAAGGAAAAGAAAAACCTCGGCCGAAGGGTCTTTGCGTCAAAAGTCGAAAAAGCGATGCCTTTAAACCACAGCAGCATCCCGTCCATGGGGAGTGCATCGTGAGCTTTGTTTAATATTTACTCTAACACGGTTCAGTGACGCTGAATATGAAGCAGCAAAAGTAGAGAGTCGTGGGTGAATGGGAAATGTGTTGCGAAAACGGAAAACTTTTGCCGCCTTTCTCCCATCCAATCCCATACCCCCCTCGGACAGGCAGCAACATACGTCGTCACGGGTGAGCACCGGAAACACACGAAAAAGTTTTCATTCCATGTGTTCAAACACCGCCAACGCCTCCATCGAAGTCGTAGTAATAGTCGTCAGTGTCTGAGCAGCAAATCTGCGGCGGTTGGCTGTAATGGGGCCATGTTGCTGGTTGTGTAGTGGGAGGTGTGTCAGTTGAACTGTAATATACGCCAGCAGTGATATACCGGGGATTATTGAGCGGAAATAGCGACGTGACGGATTTAGGCGCAGAAGGATATTCTTTGAAAATGCAACAAGAACTGTTTGGCGCGAAGAAACCGTAGACTGCAGAATGCTGACTGAAGACGTCTGCAGACTACAGTTGATAGACAACAGGCTGCATGCTGCATTCTGTAGATTTAAGTCTGTAAAAACCGGGCAATCTATATTATAATCCACAGGTTTCAATCTGTAGATAGACTACAGTCTACAGACTGTAGGCAATAGTCTGTATATGAACTACAATCTAGATAGTCTAGACAAAGACTGTAGACTTTGGCCGGCCATATTCTGCGCTGTTTTAGTTTGGCACAAAACTCTTCTCCTGTGCTTATCGGATTTGCATATGAAGCAATTGTTTTTAAACCCGTCGGGAAATACTCTCTTTCTTAGATTGATGAAATGAAACGTTGGCTTCGTTTTAATGTGTGTTTTTCCGAGTTGTATTGCAGTAAGTTTGTGTGACTATTTATGCGTCTCATATCCGACTTTTTTCATCTATATCTATCCCTCCAAGAGTGCGCTAAATACGACCCAAAATGTTGAACATTACAACAAAACTGAACGAGATAGATGGATTGTGTCAAAAAAAGAGTTGTAGAGCGCTTTGAGATGCATATTTGGGTTAGAAAAAATAATAAATTTTAAAACGTATCTTTTGAAACAATAACGGAAAACACCAATTTTAGACATGTTTATATCTAAAATGTAACTAAATGCAGAATAGTTGAAGTAGAAAAAATACTGTTAAGTAGGAAATTTCCTAAGCTACCCAATGGAGGCGATCATTTAGTGCTTAGTAGCAATTTTTTCGAGTTAGTGCTAATTTATGGCAAACATAGACCAAAACAGAAAAAGTTCAACACAGCAGTAATCATTGAGATTTGACATATGATTATTATCTTCTCCCTTTCCCCATCCAAAAAATTGTAAATCTCCACTAACCTCGAGACGACCGCGAGTAATCGGTTCAATTCCTTTAACTCTAGATTTAAGACATTAATCATGTATAATGCAAATGATAACTCGGCTCTGTAAAGTTTATTCGATTGAGCCTGTACAAATAAATTAATATATAAAAAAAATATGATTATTATCTTAAAATATGATCTTCTATCACCCCTTAAAATGTGTGCACTAACAGGACTGGTAGTGCTTATACGATATAATAGTCGAGTATGGAAATAGTGACCAAATAGTGACTTTTAAATAATAAATAAGTAACCAATAGTAACCATATTATTTCGACGAAGCGCAAACCACCACATTGCGTCGTCTCTCCTATTCCTCTTCTGGTGGATTTCCAACACCTTTTGGCCAATCTTCGGGAGGATCCTCGAACCAGGTAGACCCATGGGCATTCTCGATAATGTCTTGAATCAGCAAGATTGGTGATTCCCAAATAATTCTCCAATCGTTTCCCTCTGTCAGCGCTTGAATTTTGGCGACCCTGTTCGCCACGTAATTTCGTGTTAAGCATTTCTCTCGTGGAATGTTCGCCATTCCTCACCCACCGTTCCAGGTAGGTTCAATTGAATACCTTGCCGTTTCACAGTTGCAGCTCAATCCACCCAGTTTCGCAAGAACTTCGTTGTGCTTGGAAAGAGTTACAGTTTACCGACCATCCGATTCCCGTTCGACTGTACGCTCGAATAGCTCCTCGCAGCGTGTCTGGTCCGGCGGGTATTTGCTGACGGCTCCCACTTCCTTGCAGGACCAAACCGTTCCATGGACTTCTCCAGATCGTTCAATACTGACATGTTACAAGCATATCTCGTACCTTGGCTTGATGTAGTAACTTCGCCTGTCACTATCCAACCGAAAACTGTTTCGGTGAGTACTGGCAGACCGGTTCCCAGTGGAATCTCTCTTCCGGATGGGAAGAAGCTGAAGAAAGCTTGGATGCCCATGACCAAGTCGACCTTTCTCGAGCGGAAGAATTCTGGATCTGCCAGTTCGATGTCTGCCGGTATGTCCCATCCATTTGCCTGCACTGTAGAAGTAGGCAGACAAGCTGTGACCTTCGGCAAGACAAGAAATTCCATCGTTCGAGAGTATGACGAAAATCGAGACTTGACGACAGCTTGGATTTTGCGATTGACTCTCGTTCCGGTTTGTCCGATACCCGATATCGAAACATCCACCTTCTCACTAGAGACCTTCATCAGCTGACTTAGATCTTCAGAGATGAAGTTGCATTGCGACCCGGAATCCAACAGTGCGCGTGCCGGATAGCGAGAACCTTGGTTGTCCTCGATCACAACAACTGCTGTAGCCAGAATTACCTGCGACGTGTGACTCTGTGCTGTGTTCGACGATACTATCTGAACCGATGCGGCATTCGCTGCCTTGGGATCAGAACTTGAGTCGTTCCAGTTACCACTTTTACCCAAATTGGCCTTCTTGGGTGATCCATTCCTACTGCTTCTTCCTTCGCCCTTGAAGCACAGCAGTGTGTGGTGTCCAGCCTTGCAGTTGCGACACGAGAACATTGACGAACAATCTCGAGCTAGATGTCCTCGTTTGAGACAGTTTCGGCAGAGTGACTGTGCTCGAATGAACGACTCCCTGCTGGACAGCGACATTTCCAGGAAGGCTGGGCACGTATGTAGTCCATGAACCTCCGTACACGATGGGCACTTAGCGGTATTCCATTGTACGGCGTTGTGGCTGACCTTCGGTGAAAACGACTTCCATTTGGGTTGTTGCGGCTCGTTTTTGAGTTCTGCCTTCGCTGGTAGAGACTCGAGGATTTGAATTCTCCGTTGTAGGAACTCCTGCAAGTCCTGTAGAGTGTCTTGCTCCTTAGCGGACGTGTGTTCCTCCCAGCCACGTCGAGTGACTGGATCCAGACGAGAACTCAGCAGTTCTACCAGCAGCAAATCCTTGTATTCGGCTGGTTCGATGACTTGATCCAATATCTGAATCGCACGGTCGAATCCATCAGCCAATCTGTGGAGATCTGTGACCGATTCCTTGGCGAGTGAAGGTAGTTTGACCAGCGCTTGTACCTGTTTCCTCTTTAGTAGCTTACTGTTGTTGAAACGTTTTAGCAACGACTCCCAAGCTATTTTATAATTGACGCTAGTTATCTTTAGCGGATCTACTAGCGCCTTAGCTTCGCCTGCTAAGCAACCTTTCAAATAGTGAAATTTCTCCACATCCGGAAGTTCTGCCTTCTCATGGATCAAGGACGTGTAGAGATCCCTGAAACTACCTATCGACCCATCTTCCCTGTTATGCCTCAGAAATCCCGGCGGCACCGACTGGGATTGAACTCAGGCCTTATGAGGTGAGAGACAATCAAGCTTACGACTACACCACCGGCGCCGCTTAAATTTTACTGGTTGTGCGACATACATTTAAACAATACATTACACGACAATACATTTAGAAATCTTAAAAAAAAATGTATCTAGGTACACTCCACACATTTTCAAATTTTTTTCACCCAAAGTTACAATATTTTTCAAAATTTACTCTGAAGAATCGTGACTGATTTTCTCAGGATTGGGTTGACCAAATTTTTAAATAAAAGTAGTAGTAGAACACTATGCTATACCATTCATAACATTCAAATAACCTTTGCAACTAACTTCAGATATGTCTTAAATTTCTGCTCTGAATGATCTTGGGCTTTGAATTCGTATTCTCTTTAGAGTTCCCTTGGTATTTCCTCAGAATTCCCAAAACAAAAATCCATCTCAGAATACCCTTGAAACTCTTCTCACCATTGCTTTGAGCGCTTGTGTCTGTAAAATTTTGATTCTATTGAAACTACTCTAAGATTTTTTTTTGGAATTCTTCAGAATTCTCTTGGAATTAGCCTCAGAAATCACCCCAGAATTCCTTTACATCTATCTACTGAGTTTGGAGACCTTTAAAGTTCTCTCTTTAAAAAAATCAGAACTTATTTTAAATACTTATTAGAATTTGAACCAAGAATCGTCGTAGAATTCTTCTAAGAACTCTCGTTAAAATGCACTTCGAGCTTGTCTTTCAATTATCTTGGAATTCTCCCAAAAATTGTTTTGGAGCTGAATTTTGAATCTCTTTTCTGAATGAGTTTAAACAAATAGTGGAATATTTCTGTCAAAGATGACTTCTTAATTTATTCACCTTTCAATACGTACCGTTGGAGTTACAAATTGTTGAGATATCGTTTAAAACCTAATACTGCTTCTTGATTCTAAATTCGTTCTACGAGTTTCAATTCCGTCCTAACGCATTGAAACGCCATTAGATTTTCTTCGTCCTACGGATAAACGTAGAAAAAGGGGATTCGCTAGGAGCGCTTCTTTTGCTTTGAGAACAATGAGCGGAAATATACCTACAATGCACTCTAATAGGATTTATGTTGTGGCTTATGAACTAACGGATCGTAAACGAACGTATTATTGTTTTGTGCACGGTGAAATCATTGATATTATTGATTTTTTTTTCTGATCGATAGAACGGAAATGGGCGATTACGACGAAGTAGCGTTCTACCCAACTCGTATGCGTCAGTCTCCGGGCCGATATTTTCACCTCCGCGTAAGCCCTACAACAGTTTTAAGATTTAGGAAGATGTGAACAAAGCGGCCCTAGGATGAACACCTTAGAACATGTGACTTTCGTAGTGTGTAGTTTACTATTCTTTTCTGAAATATCTTGATATCATCCGTATGATTCCTTTGATATACACTTCAAAATTCCTTTTAAAATTTCTAGAATTTCTCTAAAGACTCCTGAAAATCTACCACACACCAACATCCTCGAAAAGTTTCCAAGGTTCAGAATTTATTTTCGGCAAAAGAAAGTATATTCTCCCCGATTTATCACCGAAATTGAACGCTTTTCCCAGTTTTTTCACGGTTTTTAAAAATTCCTTAATTTTTTCCGGTCTTCTTGGTTTGTAATTGTTTATTTTTAACAGCTAGGCATATTTCGTCACAACTACTGTAGACCTCCTTAGTGGCAAGTACTCAATTTAAACGCTAAACTGGATTTGTTTCATAATATGAGCGTCATATGATGAGGTAAAGGGGAATTCGGATAGAGGAACCAGTACGTAAAAGAAATAATATTCGAGGTTTAGGAAAGACGCGTTGATCGGAAATCTATAACAAATCCTTGTCAAGAGTAGTTGTTATCGGTCGAAATCTAGTAGCCGGGATCGAAATCCAGTAACAGCAAGTCGAACAGGACCTTTTGTGAAATGAGGAGCTCGGTGGCCTTGGGTCGACCGATTTTGCATACTGAGCAGAAAATCGTGGGTTCAATCCTAAGCTGCTTCACATTATAGAGTTTTGAAGTATAACTCGGCCTTCTTTAATAATATAATATAATATGATACGGTTGAACGCGATCATCTTTATACTCGGCAGCAACCATTGTGTGGTCTGTTCTTCATCAGCAGTTCTTCGACGTCGTCGACTTTAGAAAGCAACCGTTTCGTGCTGATTGTGTGAGTGATGACCTCGTTTTGCGCTCTTGCCTGCCCCCCGTTGGCGATACTGCCATACAATGAAACCAGTGGAAGCGCATCCCGTTCTGATGGAGCAAGCCTTTATCTTTTGACTTTAGTAAAGTGAACAAGAATCCTTGGCTCTGTAAAGTTAATTCGATTGAGATTTATAAAATAAATTAATAAACAAGAACAATTCTCCCTTCTCCGTCCCCTTTCCATGTGTTATTTAATTTTTGCCATATATTTATAAGCTATACACATACTCACTAGCACCGAGTAGTGATTAAATTCTCAACTAGGCTGCCCACTAGACTGATTTGACTTTTTCGCTCCACAGTACTTAAAGGGTTTCAAATCGGGTCCTGATTAGCCTCCCAAAGTTACAACTCATTTGGTTAGAAACAGACTTCCCATGTAAATTACTATGGGATATCTCAGCTTTTTGTTCATTGCCTTCTAGTCTTTTTCCTTATTGAGCTGCGAAACAGTTCGATAGCCATTCTTATAGAAAATTTTCTCAGCTACAACTTTGCTGAAAATCGTTTCTATGTAAAACGAGACAGAAAAAAGTTATTCATTATTTAAGAGATTGGTAAACTTATGACATGATCAAGCAGCTGCTCTGTAGGCAACACTGTATTTTGCAGTGTGACATAGTAGCCATAATTTTTGTGTCCTATTCAACGCCCCAGAAACATCAATGTTGTCTGCTGAGCAGTTGATTGAGCATGATCATAAGACATCAGCGCATTGAACCATTGATAACTTTCGATTCTTGCATTTAATCAAAAAGTGGTCTTCAGCAAAGTTGTAGCTGGGAAAATTTCTTACAAGTACAGTTGAAAGTTTTTGAAGCAGATCGATATGGTGAATTATTAGATAGACATGAACAAAAATCTTGGTTTTACCATAGTAATTCCCATATAAACTTCAAATGGTTTGTGCCATCTCAGTTTCTCACCAAATGGGTTCAAATTTTGAGAGGTTAGTCAGGATCCGATTTAGAATCGTTTAAGCATTGTGGTTCGAAAATTTCAAAATTTGCATCACTCTACTGCTCACCATCCAAAAGGTTTCGTTCAAATGAACAACTTTATCGAAGACAGCCAGCTTGGTGACCCATATCTCAATATATAGCTTATACAAATATTTACTTGTACACTAGCGTCGCGTAGTGAATAAATCCTCAACTAATCTGCTCACCGTCCGAAAGTTCTTGGCCACCTGAACAACTTTTCGCAAGACAGACCCATTCTAGATGGTCAGGATCTCAAGATATAGCATAAGCAGTAAATACACATGCACACTAGCGCAGTGTAGTGAGAAAACTCTGAACTACTGTCCACCAACCATAAGGCCTTGATTCACTGAACATCTTTGCCCAAGACAGTAACCTTCTATACTTCCAGGATCACGACATATTCCACGTTGGAACCAATTAAGTCAAATCCCATGTGCTACATGGATTCCATTTATGCGCCTTCCCCGCCCAAATGGAAGCAGGCGAAATCCGCATACAGCATTCCCTCGATATATGCGGTGGGTGATACCGTCCACCCACAACTATTTCTCAGTTGTCCTTCAACGAATTGAGCTGGTTTTCAGTAGATAACCAGTTTATGGGTGACACTAATCACAAACAAAAAATCAACGTAATTGTTTTTTTTTTTAACTATTTCGTTTATTTGGAAGGCTCAATCGCGTTAGCTTTACGGAGCCGATAGTTCATTGTTCTTTGTTTGTAACAAAATTCACTTAATTCTATGCCTAGTAGGAGTTGGGCCGAATACTTGCGGCTTACTCGAGGTTAGAGAGGTACATTGTCGAAGGATAGGATCAGGGGAGGAGCTTGGGGGTAAGGTTTCGTTGTCTCATCAAAGCGTTTTCACCTACGTAATTGGTTGAAGGACAACCGAGAAACGGCGGCGGGTGGACGGCACCACCCACCGCATATATGGAGGGATACCTGTATATAACAACATTCCAGTGCATTTTTTTTTATTAATATTAAACTCATTGCCAGCAAAACAGAAGTGCAATCGTAGCATTCAACTAAATTTCTTAGCGTGGAATTCATCAAAACAACGTTTTCAATGCATTTCCACTTTGCTTTCAATCCAACATGGAGTGGAATTAAACTCAGCATCTTGAGGAAAATCCGCTTGGCAGAACCATTGATCCAAATTTAATCAAACGAGTTGAAGGAAACCCTACGTACGTACCACCAAGGGTACCATTCATCCTGATTCTTACGATGAAAGACGACGGTTGCTCTCTCTGTAATGCGTAGCTTCAGCAGCCGGTCTCAATGGAAAGCAAAAGGATGTGATCCGAATCCCAGCTAGCTCACGGCAGGTCGAAATATACGGTGGCAGTGCGGGGAGCCCAAGGGGAATCGTAAAAATTAAAATATGTATGTTTTTTGCAGTCGCCATTCCGAATCACAGTCACGTACGTGGAGTGGAATGAGTGGTACTTATTATGGCTGTAGGCAAATAAACTTCAAAATTAATGAGAGCTGCCCGTCTTCTCATTGCCGGTGACCATGTTATAATTATTTGATAATTTTTGCTTTATTAAAATTATGTATGTATGGAACAGGACAAAAACGAATACAGGGAGAGAGGGAGAGAGGGGGAGGTGCGCAGGTATGTCATTGCAGCTCTGAATAATTAATGTAATTAATTGATGATCCCCCGCAGTGTGGGGTGGATACAACTTTTTCAGAACCGCATCGTTTCGGAATTCACTATATTAATTACATGGATAGATCTACTTGCGAATGAATAAACAAAGAGATCAGACGAGGTCATTTGCAGCATAATTTTTTACTCTCAAATTAAAATCGAAACGATGAGTGACAACAATGGTCCTCGCAATGCATTCACTTCGAACTTGTTTCGTGATTTTTTTTTCTTAAATAAAAAAAAATCATTTGTTATCTTTAAGGATGAAACAAATCAGAAATTGTACGAAATAACGTTCACTAGTGAATATAAGCTCACTTGTTCATTCATTCATTTATTCATTTACCCACAAGTTTGATTTATATCTCATCAGCTAAGCTTTTTCCATTATCATTTCATTTTGCTGATTTATTTTCCTGCAAACGAGAAAAAAGGAGGAAATGGGGGAAATATTTTACGATGGGCTGAAAAGCAAGTGCTTCCTCTGCATATTCAGCAAAGTGGAGATGTCTTAAACAGCATCAGATCCAGATTTCTTGTTCAACGCAGCAATCAAATCGCGTATAATATTACCTAATGGCAAATGAAACATTGGTACGTAAACTGGTGGTCAAAACGTAAACAAATACATTCCCGCTGTAAAATGCAATGAAAAATTACATAGTATTTTTTTAATAAATGTTAACCATAATCTGGATGCAGTAATTCACGATTCCATCATACGACTGAGACTTGTCTGAGACCATTTGCAGCAAGACAGAACCGATGGATGAAAAACACGATCGTTTCATCTTTAATTACGCCTTCTACTTCTAACACAGCTTTCTGCTCCCTTCAATCAAGTGACGTCCTCGAAAGCATCTCCCCCTAGAGGACGAACATGTTTGAAACGATTCCACGATAAGGGGTTTTTTTTCATCAGAAAAGTCGATAAAGGTGTGGAATTTAATTTACGGTTTACAGAATCGCTCACATTTTCGTTTTATGTTAGTACGATTCTTCTTTAGAAAGCAATATCGATTTCGAAGTGTTACGTGAGCAATCCGATTGCGGATGAGCATCCGTGGATAAACAAACACATTGGATGAAATTATTCGTGAGGGAAATTTCTCTGCTTTTCCATTGATAAGACGTGACTCGGTAGCTTAGTGGTAACCGTTTCTGCACTCTGAGCAGAAGGTCGGGAGTTCAATCCCTGGCCCGTCCCTTTCCTCGTATTTGTCACTATGCCTAATTCTCTAGATTTTAATAAGAACAAAAACTAGTTCCAGGCCATTAGGATAAAAAATAAAAATTTAAGGCTCGACCTTCTCCGATTTGCATGAAACTATTCAAATAATTATGTGTTATGGGCAATTTTCACATTTTTGCAAAAAATCGGCCATTTTGGATCTTTTGTTTTTTTTCAAAATGGCGTCAATAAATTGTAGCACTAAACCAACTTTTTGTGCCGATCGGAACACCCCTCGGTCCAAGGGAGCATTTTCTACTTTTCGTGATTTTCAAGTAAGCACCACTTTCTTTTGTTGATATCTCCGGAGCGATTGAAGCTACAGATAGCATTAGATACTGGCGTCAAAAGAAAATTAGACAAGAATCTAAATTTGAAAAACTATTATTTCTGTACATACAGTGCAGAGTGCAGTGATCCAGAATGGGAATTTAACCGGAATAGTAGTCCTAGAGCTTTTGCTGTAATATTTAGACGTTTGGAGTCTTTGGTGAAGTTTTTGTGCTTGAAAAGTTGCAAACAATAGGGTGGCCCTCAATTGGACAATGGATTTTCAGAAACTAACTTTTTATATTTTTTAAAATAAAGGAAGTTGTAGCTGAGTTAATTTCAAGTAATTTTGAGCAATGAACATTTTTTCTATCTCCTAACGTACAATAATACTTTTATCAAAATTTAATTCTTAATCTAATTTTTTCGATCATATGTAACCATAAAAACGGTACGCGATATCACTCTAAAATTATCACCAGTGAAAGATAAGAAGTTTTCACGCTCTAACAAAATCATCAGAAAAAATGTCATTCCCTTAAGTGGATTTTCCTTGTTCTTGTTTGCGATTTTCCTAAACAGTGACAATTTTCGTGGAAAATATTTTTCAGATTATATTTTTTATGGATTGCTAAAATAATGCCCTTATCATTTCACTCCACAACGTTCTACTTGTATAGTTTTTAATTATTTATTAATTTTCAAGGTACGTGATAGGGGAAATTGATGTAATGTCGGTCTAAATGTCCCTAGTTTGGGCCCATACATAAATTCAGCAATGGAATAAATTTTCAATAGTGACCAAAAATATCCATTAGTACCGTCTCAATGACGCGTTCATTGATAAATAGCAGATTTTTAGCGATGGGCTCAATCTTAGATCCATAGGCCAACATTAGAGCCATTTCCCCTGCATATTCGTAATCTGCTTTTAAATGGAACCAAAATACAAAATTTCATCAAATTAGAAAATAAAAATAAAAAAAATCCTGTGTTATTTTTTAAACACATAAAAGTAATTTGTCTTTATTTTTTAATATAATTGGGAGTAGCTTTTTTATAAAAATAGACAGACAAGTAGGCATCTTAAGAAGCTTCAAAATTCTCTTTTGAAGATGACTTTCATGAAACTTAAAAAGTTACAGGTAAAAGTTGATTTGTAGAGGGCCACCCTAACGACAAATTTAAAGGTGCAATGCAAGGGATTTATCGATTCCAAAAGAATCACCCAGCGTGATAATGAAGCAGTGGAAGACACCTTACCCCTACGATTTGGCTGACGATGAAAGAGGAAGAGTGAAGCAGTAGCAAGCTGTGATTGCCTCTGCCGAATGTTGAAGTCGAATGAATGCATGATGTTCATCCATTTGACAGTTAAACGAGGGATAAGACATCAAGAGTATCCACCTACGTTAGGGTGTACCCCACATCCCACTACACTACACTCAAAATGTATGGCATTCGATCAATCAAAGTGAGTTTGACAGTGGTTTTTCTATTTACTTTTTTTTATGATTTTTACTACCACACTCTCAATTATGTTGCACAAATACAACCGGGCATGATTATATCTATTGACACAGACTACAAGTAAACTAGTAGATACTTGTTGCTTGATACCTTCTGGGCTGCAATTCATTTCGTTGACTCTACGCCGAACGAAGAATGTTTCTATACACTAGAATCGGTCTTGAGCTGATCGTTTCTAGTCCTGACCTAGTATCCTCCCGAGACCCTCCTCAACTGCAATAAAAAGGCAACGTGTGAGAGGTCTATCCCGGAGTCGGAGTCACTGTTGAGTGTTATTTTCGCTTGTTGCTCTTCAGGTTCCGGCACCCATGCAAAATACTCAGGCCATCGTAGCCTGTCGTGTTTTATAAGATTTGCTATCTATTCAGTTATGTACTTCATACAACTCGTGATTCATGCGGCACCACAATTTTCTAGTTTACTGTCAAGAATTGTTCGCAGCACATTGCGTTTGAAATCTCGTCCACGATTCACGTCTACGGCTATCGAAAGTATCAACAAAGCTAGTTTCGTTTTCGAATGCAATCTACGGGACTTTAGGTGGTTCACAACCCGTAAAAGTGCTTATTAGCATCTACAATACTGCAATACCTTGCTATCGCGGTAAACATAGCGTTTCACTGTGTTTCAGAATATTGTGGCACCTGTACCAAACTGAAGTGACTTCCAACGTCCAAGTTTACATTAGTGATATAGCAAGATCAGTTACCCCAGCGAGAAATATCGCTTTGATTTTTAGTCGTATACGAGGTTGTATGTACAATATGTACACAAGTTCTTCCAGCGAAATAAACTAACGATATTCATATAATTGACTCATGCCTTTTAGCCACAAGAAATCGGTATGAATTTCGTGAGCAAACGCCACTTCCACTGTTTGAAGGGGCGTGTGTGTGATGATGGTACCGTTCCTCTGCAAACCAATTTTCCTAATCGATCCTTCAATAGCAATATTGAATAATACTTGTTATAGTGCATCACTTTATTCAACCCATCTTAGGTACTGAATGAGTTCGAAATATCATATATATCCCATACACATAACTTCGATCCATCATGCACTGTACGACTCAATATAAGTAGAAAACTATGTCCTAGCTAAAACTGCCAAAACTCAACTCTCTTCACGAAATGGTACGTGAAATCAAATAAAATAATGTTTGTCTGCAAACTGTATTCCTAAAATCCGTCAATGATTTGAGGAAGGACTCCTCCAACGGTCTCTATTCGTGAACTACTAAAACTACTACTGGATAAATTGTGTGCTCTAGTCTGAGTCCCTTCTTGTATAGAGGACAAATGAGACCTTACAACTAGTTAAGCGGTTCAGTCAGATATGATGGATTACCTGATGCAGCTGCCCACTCCGGGCCTGTGAAGCTCAATCTGGAGCTCGTCCTTACCACCAACCCTATTGGTAAATATCAGTGGTCCCTTCGAGGCAGGGAGCGATCGATATTCAGAACCAGGGCTGGCAAATGCCATTTTCAATGAAAGATCTCACGCGATATTTACAGAGATACTTCTGTCACTATCATTGGATGAGAAAACGATGATAGAGATTTTCTTCAAAATCTCATCGAATTTTTCGTCATGACAGAACGTGACAGTGTTGTGATCATCGTAATTACTAGCTCATTTAATACTATTATAGTTACTTGTACCGAGGAAATCTTAATAATATATCCACTCTACCGATTACATACGGTAGTTTGCTTAAATTCATCTAAATTAGTTAGAAATGTAGATGTCATAACCGCATAAGAATTATTCTCATGAGTGCTTGATCATTGAAAAATGACAAGAAAGCTAATGATAGGTAGTTTCGTCTCGTGATAGTGAGAGAACCTGTTTTCTCATCGTCACATGATGGCAGTGATATTTACCAGCTCTGTTCAGAACAGTACTTCATCAGACTACTAAATAGTACGATTCTACAAGAATTTTGTTCGCGAATGCTTTCCTGTGACAGTCATCATAGCGTCATTGTAGCGACTCCTTTTGAACCACTCCAACTCAAACCCAGGGGATCTTTTGCTTCGATCATAGTCACCACTCTCCTTCTATCGAGCACATCTTCAAAGTATCACGTACTGATACATATTCATCCTGGATGCAATAATTCTGTACCGTTACGGGTGAATCTCCCATTTCACATAGCGCTGCGTCAGATAGGGATAATCAAAATTGAAACGTGCATTCGCTCATTGAGAAAAACTTGCCAGGACTTGCTGAGGTTACCACATACCATTGTGTATTTTGCCAAGTGTCCCATCTCCTCTAACCTCTACTTGTCTTCGATGATTCTACAAAATGGCCGCTTCAACAGGCTTCCGCAAGCTTATCGTTTTTTTTTCATGTTGGGAGATTATTTGGTTTTGGTATTCCCATATGATTCAAGTATTGCTATAATAATGCAGCAATCCTGGCAGGATCGCCATTGTGAGGGATTTTATTATCGATTCCCAAAGAATCACCCAACGTGATATTTAAGCAGTCCCTAATAAATTTGCTATGGTTATTTTGCTTAACGACGTGTTTGGGGTATCATCCAAACCATTTGTCGAAAAGTTCGACTATTTGGGTTATTGTTCGTTTATGGTATTTGTTTATTGGGGGTGGAAGTCACCTTACTCCTACGATTTGGCTGACGATGAAACAGGAAGAGTGAAGCAGTAGCAACCTGTGATTGCCTCTGCCGAATGTTGAAGTCGAATGAATGCATGATGTTCATCCATTTGACAGTTAAACGAGGGATAAGGCATCAAGGATATCCGCCTACCTTAAGGGTGTACCCCGCAAGACCATACTGGAGGAGGCTGGGTTTCCGGCCCGGTCTAGGAATTTTTCGGGTTGGAAAATTTCTCGACTTTCCTCACTAGTACTTGTCACACACACACTCGCAATAAAACTAATAAATAAACTAGCCAGAGAGGGGCAGGGGGGTCGACTGCCCCCCTAAGCTCAGCAACACAAATACTTTCGGGGAAATGGCGTTCGGTAAAATGGCATTCGGCCAAATTTTCCATAGTAATTTTTTTTCGCCCCTCCCTACCTCGAAACCTGACTACGCCATTGTCTAAAGCACTCAAAACTAAGAAGAGAGCACGCAATGAGCTAATGTTCGATAAGCAATAAGCTTGAAATACGAAGAAGAAGAAGAAGAATAAACAAAAGGGTGATCCTCCAATCCAACTTTGTTATTTTTGAAAGTAAAGGCATACAATCTTCAACAAAGTTGTAACGGAGATAATTTCAAGTAACTTTGGCAGTGTTGCCAAATATTTGTTATTCACGTTTGAAAACTTTAAACGCATTTTACTCTGTATTTTAGTTTTCAATTTCACCTCACCCTTATTTTTACATAAGCACGTAAGACAAAAAGTGATTTTCGTAGTTCCTGAGATTGAATCAATTTTTGATCAACAAAAGTCAGAACTCAGAAGCTATGAGAAAAAAAAACCTTTGTCTTTGTTGTATTTTTGGCGCTTTCTTTTACATAAAAGGATTCATTCTCCTCAGGTATTGGTTTAAATGTTTTTGATGCTAATAAAAATGGAATATAATACCAAGATATTTTTTTTAAGTGATTCCAAATTTAACTTGAATTATGCAACTGAAAACTTTAGACACATTTTTTAGGTAGTTCGTGTTCCTCAACACTTTTTACATAAGATAGATTAACTGACAAAACGTTCAAAGCATAGTTCTTGTGATATAGCATTTTGGAAAAAAAAAAAGTAAAACTTTACAAGAAAGCGAGCAAGAAAGTTACTTTTTTGTGCGTTTTCTAAAGCAGTGGAATTACTTTCCAGACCTATTATTTTCGCAAGATAACGGAAAAAAGTGAGCATTGTCACGCCAACAGCAAATAGCAATAGCAAAACAAATTGAATTTCAGGCTCAACCTTCTCCGATTTGCATGATCCTTTCCTTATTTTTTGTTACGACCATTTCGAATCTCGCAAAAAAAATCTTCGACGCAGCTGTCCACTGTCTTCCTTCAACCGGCAGCCTTTGAAGAAGTAATTCTATTGATTAAGCATATAAAAATCAACAAATCTGCCGATCCACCAGCAGCTTTCGCCAAACATATTGACAAATGTGTTTAACGAGATTGAGACTGGTGAATTCCCGGAGTGCCTGAACACAGCTCGTGTCGTGCCGATTTTTAAATCCGGTGATCCTACATGTGCTAACAAGTACCGTCCAATATCGGTACTGCCTAAAATACTTGAGCAGATGATTGCATCATTGTCGTTAGAGTTGGTTGTAGCACTCTCACTGCTACATGTGAACTGCTGGATGAAATTGCCCATACGATTGTCAGTCGGCAATATTCGGGGGCGTTATTCTTCGATCTTAAGAAGGCGTTCGATACTAAGTATAAGTTATGAGCTACTTCTCCACAAACTCGAGAACTATGGTATAAGAGGAAATGGATGGGTACTTCTGAAAACTTACCTAGCTAACCGTCAGCAATTTGCGTCTGTGAACGATGGGAAAAGTGAGCTCAAGAACAGATCATATGGAGTACCTCAAAGCAGTAATCTAGGGCCATTGTTATTTCTGGTGCTCATCCTCGCCTAAATCTTCACGAACGGAGAACTGGATCCAAGAATCGCAAGATCTACGGCTTATGCAGGAGTTTTTCAAATCAAACTTTTTATCGTTGGAAATGGTTCTAATGTTGGCCTATGGATCTAAGATTGGGCCCATCGCTAAAAATCTGCTATTTATCAATTTTATCTAGATGACCGCATCATTGGGACGGCACTAAGGGGTATTTTTGGTCGGTTTTGAAAGTTTAGTCGATTGTTGAATTTATGTACGGGCCCAAATTAGGGCCATTTAGGACGACATTACATCCATTTCCCCTATATGGTTTACCACTCTTCAAGACGACCAGTTCCAGAGCCTCCGATCGTTCAAGTTGAAAACCTAAAGAATAGACTGTCGGTATTGTGTGGGGTATTTCTAAAAATAGCACCATTTGTTCCGTTGAATTGGATGATGAACTTGTAATATTCTTTTGTTCACTCGAGGCTCCAATATTTAGTTAAAATATGGGGAACCACAAGCATGTTTTACTACAAAACCGGTGCTTGAAAGTCATCCTAAGAAAACCGCATCTATACCCAACGGAACAGTTGTACAATGACCTGCAGAATTCGTTGTTACCAATTCGAGGACTTCAAGTGTCAAGACATTAACACACGTGCATAATATTGTAACAAATCCAGTCACCTATCACAACATGCGAATCACAATGAACCTCTCCGAAAGATCAAGTAGATACTATGGCAATATACGATTGGGCCCACCAAATACAGAACTCGACAAAAAAACACTTTGGTTGCCAAGGTAGTAAACTGTACAACGAGCTGCCAACAGTAATCAAACAACAGGAATCCATCGATCTGTTCAAGGCAAATCTCAAACGACACCTTAATTAAGCTTAATATCTTGCGTTACTTATGTTGAAACCAATGCAAATCAGGTTTGGGCTGGTAGAAATCCAGCTCTCGGTAAACTGATTCGACGTCCTCAGCGGCCCTCATCTGTTCATATGCCCTTCGGTCTCGTAGAACATCAGCTCTCTGTTGGGTAACTTAGGTTGCTATATGTCTGGCCGAAGCCACCACTGATACCAATGTTTGTCCAACAAATGGTTCCAGATCCGGAATATCTGCTCCCCAACGACATCCTACGCTTCTGTCGTTTAGCTGATTAGACGCCCTCATCTATCTTTCCGTCTGAAACTTTGTTAGCATGACATCCTACGCTGATTGGACACCCCCAGCAGCCCTCATCTACCCTTCAGGTAGAACACCAGCAATATCTGCTTCACAACGACATCATTAGCATGGCATCCTACGCCTTCGACGTCTGGCCGATTCATCGCAGTCCACGTTCCGTTCACTAACAACTGTCTACCTTCAACTGCACACCGACGTTTGATAACAACCTAACTGCTGTATAAATATTCAGCCATTCCATAGCAAAACGATATAGTTGTTCTCAGTACTTAGTAGTTTTGTTCCTTATCGCAAAATGTTAGACCCGTATTTTTTTTTGTCATTAGAGTGACCATTTACATGCGTGACCAAAACATCATTTTTTTTAATAAAATTACTTTTTTTTTAAATGACTTTTGAACCACTGGGTCGATTTCAAAGATCAAAATATCAAATGAAAGGTAATTAAAAATACTTTTTAGGAAAAATATGATGATATTAAAAAAATGGGATTTTGTTTTGAAAAACATTGATTGTATTGGTTTTTTATTTGTCATTGAAAATTTAGGCTTTTTTACACAACATATCAAAAAATCACCGATGTATTTTTTTTTCGTTTTTGAGTTATATTTTATTGAAGTTATCAATTTTTAGGTTATCGCTCAATACTTCTATGCGACTAGACTACCATGCATCTCTATTATTATAGCGACTGTAACATGGTCACGACGCAATCTGAGATGGTCG